TTAGATGAATCTACGTTCTGTATTTACTGTAGAACAACAAAGGATTTTACAGCGTTATTATGAAAATGGAATGACAAATCAAAGTAAAAATTGCTTTCAGCTCATATTACAGTGTGCACAGGAGACTAAGCTGGACTTCAGTGTAGTCAGGGTAAGTATTGAGGTCTTGCACTTGAATTTATAGCTTTTTATTACAAATGATATTTGCTTAATATAAGAAAAACTATTCAGGGTATGAAGTCCTAACTTCATACACAGCTTCATTTCCCTAGTGTAAAAATACTATTTTGATAAATAGAGATACCACACACAGTCATATTCGTTCTCATAAATACCTTGGAAACACTAAAACCCTTGCAGTATGACATATCTCTTATATAAATCTTTGAACTAATAAATACTGGTAACATTAATTATGGGATGTTGATTATATGCTTTTTAGAAGCTCTCATTTAATACACATAGAGCCTCCACATTAATAGTGAAAGAGATTTTTGGAAGCATTTGCATGTACCTAGCTTTGTTGTTGTTGTATTTAGACTTTTTCCTCAGACATTTAGGATTTGAGCATTTTTTAATTTTTCAGGAAAGTGCAGTTGTTTTTATGGATACCTTTTCTTTCCAAGTAAAATGTATATATTTAATGGTTTGTGAGTAAGAGACAGGAAATCCCAAGGGAAGAAATTATTGAATCCATTCTTATCCTGTTATGAAAAAAATCAAAGCTGCTACACATTACTGAACAGCAATGAGGTGATAGAGAGGAGGCAAGTGATAAATCTAACAGAACTAGTGACCAATTTTATTGAATGCATTGGTCCTTTCATGTTTATTTAAACAGTTTACAAATCCTTTTAGTGTGAAACCTTAGTGATTCAAAGATTCACAACTTTCCCGCACACGGCAGGCTTTCGGCTAATTTTGAGGAAAAGGGATATATCTTTTTCAAGTTTATTGTGCTGTACAATCATACCTCCAAAGATCCTAGAGAAAAGATTTTTGGATAGAACTGTTTCCAAAGTTCTTCAGAACTAAAGTATTTATTTCACATTCAAACAGAAATTATGCTGTTTATTATAGGGAAAAGTATTCTTATGGTCTGAGATTAACTATCGGATTCCCATTTCTGTCAAAACTAGAAATGTCTTCTATTGATAACTTTAAATTAACTACTGAATCTCAAAGAAAAATGTTTAATAACTTTACTAAAAATAAAATATGGGGGCTGGAGAAACAGTCCAGATGTCCTGAGTTCAGTTCCTGGCAACCACATGGTGGCTCATAACCATCTGTAATGATATCTGGTGTCCTTTTCTGGCCTGCAGGTACATGTGCAGGCAGAACACTGTATACATAATAAATAAATAAATCTTTAACAAATAATTAAATATTTCAAGTTGTTGAGATTGCACTTTATACAAATAAACTTTTTTTCCAAATGTTATTTCCTCGGACTTTTTTTTCCCTTTTGTCTTTGCATTACTTTAAAGTAAATTGTCTTCCCAGGTAGCTGCAATGTGGATCATCTCTCATATTTCAAAGTTGTCAATTGCACTATTCCCCTTTATAACTAATTTTATTGTTTTTGACTATAGAGATTGTAGAAATATAGATATTTATATTTATACTGAGTGTGAAGTGAAAATCTAAAACAATGAGAATAGATTTCAATTCTTAGAATGTAGGATTGTGAGTATAACACTGTATAAGATATAAGGAATTTTGTAAAGCAATCAGTTCTCCATTCCAGGAAAACATCAGTGGCACAAAAATGCATTGTTTTGAATTTCCATTCTTTTTCCAATCAGTCAAAAGCTCAGCAAAGTAGTTTGCAGATTTGCAAATCTATGATCTCCCCCATCTTTTGCTGTTTATGTGTCCCACTTGAAAGAGATCATTATTACTTTTAATATAAAGTTATTGTGTTTTTCCTCAGAAGAACGTAAGTCCATTATATTTAGTATTCACTCTAAGTGTAAAGTGAATTTAAGAGGTTGAATAAAACATCCAAACAAAAATAGTCAAAATGAAGAAAACAAACAGTGAGATATAGAAAAAGGTAAAGAAATTTAGAACATGAATGTATGAAAATGCTATAATGAAACCTATTTTTTGTATGCCAATCCTCCTTCCAAAAAAAGAATAAAAATGTTCTGATATTAAGTAGTGGTAATGGTTATAGAATGATGATGATATTTTTACAAAAATATTGTGTTGAAAGAAGAAATTTAGAGGTAGTACATTTTTAAGATAAAACTGAAAGAATTTTATAGCTTACAAATATTGGCAACTCAAATTCATTTCTTTTTTCCTGTGTATAGTCTGTTTGCTAGATCGTCACCTTAGATTATCATAACCCCTGTTTTGTACGGCATATTTTTCATTTTCTTTTTGATGAATTAGGTATTTGCAAAGGGTGGGTGCTTATATCTAAGAAGCATAAGTTTTAGATCCTATACCTGAGCAGCTTAGGGTAAGGTTTAATTACTGTAACCCCCAAACAATGAGTTTTCTTTACTTTTAACATTTTAAGTACAAGCATTTCTTAAGTATATATTTTTGTACTTTTCAATAGGGCTGGTGGGAAATAATTGAACTCTTAGTTTTTCATTGCTGTTTAATGATTTCTGATTAAATGTTTTTATTAGGATATGTCAATTATGCTTACTAATGAATTTCATTTCATTATTTTTATGATTCTGCTCTGTATCTCTTCTGGATCAGAAGTGTAATTTTTGAAAACACTATATGGCTTTTTCAATGCACTCCTGAGCTGGATGTGGTGGTGCATACCAGTAATTGCAGCATAGGGGGCAGAGGCAATGTGGTTCTCAAAGCCGGACTATCGACATAGCTCAACCCTGTCTCAAAAAAGAAGTTGCTCAAATGTATAAACTTCAAAGACTTAAGAAAACAGATATTGCAACAAAAGCATTAAAATAAACCCCAAAATTCTATAAATTCTAAAATCTACTCTTGCAGGAAAATACCATCCACAAAAATAGTCTTTAAGGTTGTTTGAATGTTCTAAATGTTTATAACCTAAAGAGCTGTAATTTGTTATATCTGTAAGGTGATTGATAAAATGTCAATATACAGATTTTTTCATTGAGATTATAATATAATCACATTTCTCCCTTCTTTTTCTTCGCCCCAAGCCCTCCTATATACCCTCCTCATTATCCCTCAAATTCATGGCCTCTTTTTTACTTATTGTTATTGCATGCATGTATGCATATGTATATACATATATTCCTGAGTATAACCTGTTCAGTCCATATGTTACTTGCATGTATGTTTTCAGAGCTGACCATTTGGCATTGTAAAACCAGTTGGTGTGCTCTTCCCTGGGGCAGACTTTTTGTCCCACTCTAAGCTTTCCTAAGCTGATTATAGATCTTTGTATAGGGTTGAGACCTCATATTTTTTAAAATAAGCACTCTAAAATCAGGTGTGGTTAGGGACACACCTTTAATCCTAGCACTGGGGAGAAAAAGGCAGGGGAGAATCAGGAGTCCAAGATCACATTTGGGTACATACCATGTTGAGGACATCCTGAGGTTCATAAGATCCTTACAAAAAAACAAAACAAGAAAAAACCTGCAAGCATTTAGTGTGCAATGAGAATTCTTCAGAACTAAATTAGGAATTTTATTGCTTATATTATGTGAAAAAGTTTTCCTTTTGAGATTATATTCCTCCCACAAAATTTACTCCAAGTATCTTATTTCAATTAATTGTGAAACATTTTTGCAGTCTCTACTATGCAGTATTTATTTAAAAGCATGAATTCAAGCATGGAGGCGTGGCTATGCATACTTGTGATCTTAGCACTTGGAAGGTGGAAACAGTGTTTAGAAATGTGTGCTCATCCTGTACCATATAGTATGTTGTGGAATATAGTTTAAGTTGTGTTACATTCATTTATACTGTGGAATATTTGTTTAATGATGCAAAGATGTGTTGCATTTGTTTAACTCTGTGATGCTGTGTTACTTTGTCTTCCTAGAAAACCTGATTGGTCTAATAAAAAAGCTGAATGGCAAATAGCTAGGCAACAGAGGGATAGTTGGGGCTGCCAGAGAGAGAGAATAAATATGAAGAGAAAGGAGAATGAGGATTAGAGAAAAAGGAGAAGGAGAGAAGATACCAGGGGCCAACCACACAGCCACACAGTCACACAGTCACACAGCCACACAGCCACACAGCCAGCTATGGAGTAAGGAGGGAAGAAAGACATATAGAATAGAGAAAGGTAAAAGCCCAGAGTAAAAAGGTAAATGGGATAATTTAAGTTAAAAGCTGACTGGAAACAAGCCAAACTAAGTCTGGGCATTTGTAAGTAAGAATAAGTCTCGGAGCTGGGCGTTGGTGGCACATGCCTTTAATGCCAGCACTCGGGAGGCAGACGCAGGCAGATCTCTGTGAATTTGAGGCCAGTTTGGTCTCCAGAGCGAGTGCCAGGATAAGCTCCAAAGCTACACAGAGAGACCCTGTCTCAGAAAACCAAAAAAAAAAAAAAGTCTCTGTGTATTGATTTTGGAGCTGGGTGGTAGGTCCCCAAAGAGAAATAAAAGAAAAGAAAATGCAATGGTAAGTTCAGGCATAGTCTGACTACATGATACCCTGTCTCAAAAGAAAAAGAAACAATGCATCTAAACTAAAAACAAACTAATAAAAATCAATACTATATGTAATTTAAATGTTTCTCAGATACCTAAGTGCAATTAATTTACTGGTACTTTAAAAAATTGGGTTGGAAATATAGCTCAGTTGGTAGACTACTTGCCTAGCATGGTTTTATACACATAAACTGGGTAGCATGGTAAACAACGGTAAGGAAGTAAAGGTGGCCAGGGGTAGGGATCACAATGTCAATGTTATCCTTGGCTACATAGGTGAGCCTGGGCTAGAGACTCTGTAGAAAGAAATTTACAAATATGTAAGCTAACAGGAAAAATCAAATGTCCAAGATTAAAAATGCAATTGCCTTGCACATGGAGTCAACATGACAAGTGAGATACTCTTATGTGCTCATTGTATTTTATTTAGCAGCCATATAAGCAAACACATATACTTACCTTAGGTTTTCTATTTTAATAGTGATCTTTTGAAAATAAATCTAAACTTTAATACTGGTTTGCTTTTAACTATTCTTCCAGCTGCCTACTACATTCCACTTAAATCTTCTATCTGTTAATGCTCTAAAACTATAAGAAGGATAATTAAAAGTTCCACTCAGAAATAGAACACTTCACAGGACTGGTATACAAATAAATCATTTGGAAAACCAACTGAAAACTTTGAGTTGAACATCTTATTAATATTGATCAATGGTTCATCCTCTGAAATAGACTAATGATGTTGTTTCAATACCCTCCTAATATGGCATCACATATTACTAACCAACAAAGCAATTAGTAAGCAGAGCTTCTATAAAATAATATGAATGAGAGAATTTAGATTCCTAAAGCACTGTGAGAATTTCACAATGGGAACTAATGAACAGCTAGCTACATAATATCATTCCTAATGATGTGTCATACATGAGGAAACAAGATGTGATCACTGTTTTGCACATGCAGGAATCTAGCAAATCCATCTAAATGTGTGGCTTTGTGTAATAGTTCAAAAAATACCTTATAATCTCCCAGTTCTACAAGTCAAGGCAGAGCTACTATACTATGGTCCTAAATTTTGTTCCTACTCAAATTTAGATAGGTTACATTTGGACATTTCTCTGTCAGGACTTCCAAACCTCCAGAAATTATGTTGACACTAAGTTTTGGCTTTCCAAATAATTATGTGCCAATAATTCTATGTTAAACTTACTCAGAACTATAGTTGTTTAAGGGTGTCATTCATGCCTCAGTCTTCCCATTGACACAAAAGCAATCATCAAAACTAACTACTATACCTCCTCTAGACTCTCTTCCTTACATTGAGATTAATATTCTTCAGCTCCATGTCCTCCTACCAGTCTGCGAGTATTCTCTTCCTTTCCACTTATTTTTCTGCCTTTCACACTATCCAGACAGTAAATAATTTTAATTATTTGGAAATGAATGAAGTGAAACACAAATATAAACTACCACTGCCAGTAAATGAGTTTTCTAGAACAAGTATATAAAATGGAATCCGGGGAGTGGGAAATCTTAACTTGGCTACCTCCACTTCCTTGTCCACACACATATATACAACTTTAGCAGTTGCTTGGAGACTGAGCCTGCATCGTTTCTCCCTTCTCTTCAATGAGCAACATTTAGTGAATAATTTTAAGTATTAGGGACCCCTATCATCAAGAACCTCTGTTACTACCAACTCCACTTCATTTTTTGGTTTTAGTTTGTAGGAAATTATGATAATGTATTTGTTCAAAGTATGTGTAAAATCAGAGAAAGTGGGTTACAAGTTTAGTAGTCACTGTATTAATGAGATGCATCAATCTTGTGATATCTGTGTTGACCCTGTTTCAGACAAATGAGGTTTTTGGGTTACTAGATAGCTGAATTTCATATGTACATGATATTTTACTGAATTTTACTATGTGTATATAATATATTAAACTATATATTCTATTATATATAATATGCAACTATATGTGCAATCAATAAAAATATGTAAGTAAGACATATGGTCCAGAGATGCATCTAGATATTATGGTTCATGGGTTCAATTTTACCAATCCACCATGCTTTTCCTCAATATTTTTTAAGTTTAGTGGTATATATTTTGTAATGTAAGAATATGTAATTTTTCTTATGTATTTTTTAATTGAAAGCTGGAAACATTTTTAATATTTATGTAATTCACCTTTTGGGAAATTATGTTTATCCAAAGAATAATTTTCTTAGTTTTCTTCACTTGTGATATTTATACTTATACATATTTCAGATCCTGCTTGTAGATCCTGCTCCTCCTGTTCCAGGAAGTCAGAGTGAGTTTAAAATTCCCACTATGTCATTTAAAGCAAAGGGGAACATCATAGTTTCTGGAATACTTTCTTTATTGAAAAATATAACCACGAGAGTAAGATAGTGGATGGATAACTGGTTAGGAGGTTCTAGTTACTTCATAGGAGGTAATGGAAGAAGAAAACATTTGAAATGAAGCAGATTTTTGCTCCTTGCTGAAAAGGTATCTTTCCTAAAGTTATTGTTTTTGGACCTCTATTTCTTCATCTATATAATTTAAAATGTAGTGCCTACTAAAATAACTGAAGTTTATAAAGAATAGTCACTTCAGAATATAGTAATACTGTATTATAGCAAAATCAATGCTGCCTCTACATTGTGTAAATACTGAAAATTGGATAATTTATGAGGTTTTCAGATGCACATCATTAAAATTTTGCAAAAATAAATCTTACATCATTTATGTGAGACTAGTTTATTTAAGGTTTTCATTTACTCATTTATTTTGCTTAATTCTTAAAAGATTATAGTGTTTTAGTAGTTTATCATATGACGTGGATTTTTTAATATAAAGTTGCATAATCACATTATGGAATGCAATATTTTTATTGTGTATTTTAAGAAGAACTATGATTCAGAGAAATTATACTAAGGTAATTATAATAAATTACTTATAGGAGAATGTATTTTATAATTAAATCCTAAATGCAAAGCTATTCTATTACCTTTATTCATTGTTTTTTTCTGTTTTTAAAAGTAATGTATTCGTTGTATAAAACTTTTTAAGTAAAGTGCAAATAAATAAATGACTACTATAAGTTAATGATAAACCAAAAATGTTATTATATAATGGAGTACTACCTTTACAGAAAATTGCTCTTACAAATCAGTTTAAAAAGGTGAATATCCTAATATGAAAATAGGTATATATAATGAATGATAAGATCTATCAAAATAGCTGGGCACTGGTGGCACACTCCTTTAATCCCAGCACTCGGAAGGCAGAGGCAGGCAGATCTCTGTGAGTTCGAAGCCAGCCTGGTCTCCAGAGCGAGTGCCAGGATAGGCTCCAAAGCTACACTGAAAAACCCTGTCTCGAAAACCCAAAAATAAAAAAAAGTTGAAACCCAATCAAAACAGCAATCATTTACCTTTTAACAATTCTCAGATTAGTAAAAACTACAGAAGATTCAAACTGAAGGTTTGAGGTAAACAAAATTTTCATATGTTGAAGGGCATTTAGAAAACAATATGTATTTACTATTTCTCTTTTAGTATTGCATGATAAGGAACCACTAACTCAAAGATGTATGCAAAATGAAGTATATAATAATGAAAATTTCTGAAAATAATGCAAATAGTAGTATGAAATTTATCACATTATTTATGTGTGTGTATATATATCCATAGACATCATGAAGCCTGAAGATTATGAATGCACATTTGATTAATAATACAATGAGTGTTTTCTAATGAGTTAAAGAGCTGACCTTAGTGTTCTTCCATGATATATATATGTATATACCACTTCTGATGATCCCCTTCCTCTTCCCACCTAGTCACATTTCTACTTCCATGCCATTCTTCAATTGCTTTCTGTCTGTCTCTCTGTCTTTCTTATTATATCATTTTTTGATGACTTTGAATTTTATTAGGGCTGTTTTCAGGGTACTAGTTGAGGAATTATTTACAGGAGCATGGGCTCATTACTGGATGCTATGGCACTAAAGAAAATGTGTTTCCTTTACCCCAGAAGCTATTAATTGCCTGTAGATCCCCAGGGATGGTTGGGGCCTGATGAGTATTCCCCATGGCTATTATTATCTGTTTATAGGTTGGGAAGGAAGGTATGGGCTCAAGTCAGTTAAGAGTGTAACCATTCTCAGATATGAGTCCTGCTCTACAGGAAGAAATCCACTATTGGTTCTGTAAACTTCGTCAAAATCACATGGCTGGCGAGGTAATCAGGCCTGGTGGGGAAGCTACAGCTATTATTTTGCAAAATGCACACTATGTCCTCATTAAATTGCTGTCTAAATAGCTATGTTTATACTCATATTAGTGCTCTAACCTTTGGTTAGAGAAGCTCCTTTTTGCTGTGGGCTGTGGTAAATACAGACACGGATAACTATAATTACATTTTAAAAATATGTTCCTGAAAATGTATTTAGTAGGTCAAAGAATAGAAACAATTTTAGAATTCTTAAATATTTTTGCAATTTTTGGTATATATTAATTGGGTGGATCTTATGGCGGAGAGTAATACACTCTTACTAATGTTCTCATGTAGTTATTGAATGGGTCCTTAACCATGTTTGCTCCTAGACTTTGGGTACTTCGTCTTTTATTGGATCTTTTCCTTTTGCCCATGTATATATAGGCTTTGTTTCTATGATAAAAATATAATTTATCACATAGATACGGATTTTTCTAAGTTTGTTGTTACCTTTTACCATATTGCCATTTTTTTAATCCTTGCAGACTTGGGTTGGCAATAAGCGAAGAAAGATGAGTAGTAAGAACTCTGAATCAGGAACAGCAGGAACTGTTTCTGGCACCCCATTGGCAGCTCCAGACATTACAGTCAGAAATGTGGTTAATATTGCCCGACCTTCAAGTCAACAATCTTCTTGGTCTTCTGCCAATAATGATGTCATTGTAACTGGTATATACAGTCCAGCAAGCTCATCAAGTAAGCAAGGGACAACAAAGCTTGCAAATACACAAATTACAGAAGCACATAAAATTCCTATTCAGAAACCAGCCAGTAAAAATGACACTGAATTTCAATTGCACATTCCTGTTCCAAGACAAGTAGCACACTGTAAAAATGCTTCTGTGCTTCTAGGGGAAAAGACAATTATATTGTCAAGACAGACAAGCGTACTAAATGCTGGAAACTCAGTGTACAATCACACAAAGAAAAACTATGGAAGCTCTCCGGTGCAAGCTTCTGAAATGACAGTACCTCAAAAGCCATCTGTGTGCCACCAACCTTGCAAAATTGAACCAGTTGGGGTTCAAAGGTCATATAAACCTGAGCATGCAGGTCTGGCATCACATAACTTATGTGGGCAAAAGCCAACTGTTAGAGACCCTTACTGTAGAACACAAAACTTAGAAATTCGTGAAGTGTTTTCATTGGCAGTCAGTGATTACCCTCAGAGAATTCTGGGAGGAAATACCACACAGAAGCCTGGTTCAGCAGAAGGAACTTGTTTGTCCATTGCAATGGAGACTGGAGATGCAGAGGATGAATATGCCAGAGAAGAAGAGCTGGCATCAATGGGAGCACAGATAACAGGCTACTCAAGGTTGTATGAAAGTGGCAATTCCCTTCGAGCTGAGAACCAAAGTACAACTTTGTCTGGACCAGGAAGAAACCTGCCAAATTCACAAATGGTGAATATTAGAGATTTGTCAGACAATGTACTGTATCAAAATAGAGACTACCATTTGACGCCACAGACCTCATTGCACACAACATCTAGTACTATGTACAGTAATACTAATCCATCACGGAGTAATTTTTCTTCACATTTTGTATCATCAAACCAATTGAGGTTATCACAAAACCAAAACAATTACCAGGTAAGGTATAACTTTATTTTATGAAGATTTTTAAAGTCTTGCTAGATTTAAAAACAATGTTTGTCTACAATTACATTACAGCCTAAGTCACAATTATTTTTAAGTAATTTGAGATTTTTATTTGAAAATGATGGATTGTTGTCAATACCTTGAAGAATATTGTGTTTATCAATTTTTAAGATGATGAAGTCTTTTAAAAATGTAAAAAGAATATAGTCACTTAATAGCATCTTACCACTGACATATTTCTTTTTGTTAAAAAAATGGTACCTCTATATGAAGCATAGCATTTCCCACATCTAAAATGAGATTAAATTGCTTATGTACCCAATTGCCTTCCTTGGATACATAGGCAGGCAAGCCAATGAGCCCTTCAGCTGTCAATGGCTAACAACTTAGAGCTTGCAGTAGTTTACCTAACTGATTTTTCTAAAAGTAGATGCCTGATTCAAATGTTAAGTTGATCATCTTTTGTATGGCACTTATTTGAAAAAGTTATATCCAGAGTAGGACTTCAGTGAACTTTAGATCTGGGAACAAAACAGTATTATTATTGTTTTCCCTAAAAAAAATATGATTTTGAGAATTTGATAAGAGGGTATGGATGTTTGCTAGTTATCCTTACTACTGGCCAGAAATCCTTATCCACAATACTGAAGGAAAAAGACTCTGAGGATGTTCCCAATTTAGGACATCATTTTATCCTAACTCTCTCTAGCTTACAGTTTCATACTTCAAAATGGAAAGAGCAATAGCTGACTGTAGTGGTACATATCCTTAATCGCCACAAGCTGTTGGTCACCCTAATTTACATAACAAGTTCCAAGCCAGCTGGGGCTATATAGTGAGGCCCTGTCTCAAAATAAAAACTATAAAGAGCAATAGTAAGGGCGGGGGAAGAAAAATGAAAAAATAATGACATAGACTGAAAGTACATTTTCTAACTTCTGTCTCTTACAAAGAGGAAGTTGGTCATGATTAGTAGTTACTTCATTTTTCAGTTTGCTGTTTACCAAAATGCATACTTAATATAATGTTGACTTATACCATTAATATCCTCATTGTTATGGTGGAAGCCTCACCCAAGCCCCTGGCATCCATATACCCAAACAGTCTGGAATGTTATGGTGGAAATTCCACCCAAGCCTCCTTCCCTATTTCCCTCTAAATCCTTCTGCATCTCAGAAAGCTTGCCAAATGATGAGCCCTCCCCCAGAGATACTGAAGACCACTCCCACAGGGTACTTAAATTGTACCCCAGAGAACAGACTTGTGGTTTTTCCGGTATCCTTTTCCTGTCTCCTCTCTGGGGGGCTGGAAGGCCATCCGGGAGCATTGTATCCATTAAACATGTTTTTTTTTCTAATTCAGTTTGATTTGGTCTGATTTGGATTGCTGCATCGGTGGAGAGGCTTATCGGGGTGTAGAAACTTTTCACTTATCACTTTACACATCTTCATTTTTTATTCTCTTAGTGTTTTATTTTATTATTGATTAATCAATTTATCATAAGGACTTGATAAATAGCTCTGCTTGGCCTGAAGTGTGTATGTAGACAAGATTGGCCTAAAACTTGTTATCCTTTTGCCTCTGCCTCCCTAGTGTTGCAATTGTAGGCATACATCACAATTTCCTCAGTGTATTTATTGTGATAATGATAATGTTTACCATTTGTTGAAGTACTTCCAAATGTCTCAGGCCAATCTGGGATACATAATTAGGTCCTATCTTAAATGTAAACTAATGTATACTAAATGTAAATACTCTTTTTCTCTTATGCTTATTCTTGTAGAGAGTATTTTTCCATGCCTTTAATTGCAGAATATGGGTATCCTTGAATCTAAAATGAGTATTTTGTAGAAAAATGATTATCGAATCTTGTTTTTGTTTTCTCTATTCAGCCATTCTATATTTTTACTAGAGAATAAAATCCATTTACACTTACAGTAATTATTGGCAAGTAAGGACTTACTATTCTGATTTACTAGTTTGCAGTTCTTTTCTTTTTTTTCCTGTATGGATGTCTTAATTTGCAACTTAATTTTTGTTAATAATATGCTTTTATTCTGTTTTTGTATATCTATCAATTTTTTGATTTTTTGTTTTATGTTCATCATTAAGTCAAAAATGTGAAAATAAATTCTTAACATTTTTTTTCTAATAAGCCCACTCGTAGATTGTCTTGGAATGTTTTGTTAGATTTTCTTTCTCTGAATAGACACTAGGTGTTCTGTTTCTCTTCATATATTGTTTTTTATATACTAATAATTTGGGAAGGAACAAACTTTATTAGTTTTAGCATTCTGGCTTCATAGAGACATTCACTGGTCAGTTAAACATAATATTTTCAAGGCTTAGTCTAGCATAGCGTTTGCAAGTCTTTTAGAACTTTCATAGGTTTCCACTGTCCTTACACATGTTTACCAATCCTCTGTTTTAGTGGCTATGTTAAAATATTTTAATTGGTCTGAGTATCACTCTTGCTTCTTGAGGAACCATTAGTTATTCTATTATACTTTCAACCACTAATATCTTTCTCCACATTTCTATCTGTCATCATTTGTAAGATTTTCCTAACCCTTGTGTTTCCCACCATTTCCTCTAGCCTGATATCTCACCTGCACCACTTTTGTCTATCTGAACTTCCAGACAGAGACCAATCCCTCAGACAGCCTGAGACACATTACAGTAATGAAAAATTTAATCAAATTTTATTTTATTTTTTAATTACTACTTACATTTACATATCCATTCCCCCATTCCCTCGCCCTTCCATCATCCCATGTTCTCCATCAAACCCCCACAACCCATCTACAAACTCTTCCCCAGGGATAGTGAGGCCTCCACCAGGTACCTTCAAAGTCTGCTTCTTGCTCACAGAAGAACCTAGGGATTGGGCCAAAACTGCCTTCAAGTCATTTCATATCACACTAAAAAAAAAAATTGGTCTAAAATGGGTCAATAAAAATGTCATACATTTTATAGCCACATTGACCTTGGCATTTTCTTAGTCATTTGCTTAGTTTCTGTAGGTTTTCAGCTTTTCAGAGCTGCCATGATGCTGTTTTAGTCCTTCACTACTTGTTTTTCCTTTTTGTTTGTTTTGATGTAGAGACTGAATATTTAGTCTTTGCTCAATTGGAACTGCTTATAAAGGCTTGCCCCAGTCTTGCAATCCTCATGCCCCAGACTCCCAAGTCTGGTTATGGTCTCTCACCTCCATCCAACTAGTTTTTTATTTAGTATTGTCTTGGCAGAAGTTTCTAGAGCTTCTTAGTTCTTCTTGTTGCTAATTTCAATCTGCTGTTGATTTTCAAATCACGGAGTTACTACATCAGATCACATAAGGTTAGTGAAACAAACAGCCATGGTATTAAAAAATAACAAACAAGCAGTAGTTTGCTTCAACAAAGAATTGTGTGCAAAGGAAAGATTTGGTAAAAACACTAGTCCAGCCCTCCAAAGACAGTAGTTTACTAACAACAATGTATCTTCTATTTCTGCCCAGAGCGCTGATCTGTTACTAGTCATGATATAAAATACTTCATTTCAGTTATGAAAATGAATGGAAAACTTACTATTAACATTTGACAAGTATATTTTCTGAAATTTATAATTAACATTAACATTTTCTCTAATGTCTTTTTATATGAGCAAATTTAGATAATATTTTCAAGTATTCTGGAGGGTTTAATTTCAAATTTGTAATTGTATGCTACCAGCTGCCTTTAAACCAAAAAATGATCTTTCCAGATACAAATATTTTTATTATTTTAGTTATAAATTTGCATTATTTTGCAGCTGGTATCACAACAATTGCAAATAAAGTTAATTTTTATGTTACATCTGAGGACATTTTCCAATTTCATTTACACATCTTAAAATTCCAATTTTCTTTTTTCTTTGAATTAGAAACAAGATTGTTTTACATGTCAATCCCAGTTCCCACTCCCTCCCCTCCTCCCCTATCACCCCCCCCAAACTAATACCCTAACTATCACATATCCTTTCTGCTCCCCAGGGAGGGTGAGGCCTTCCATAGGGGGTCATCAGAGTCTATCATATCCTTTGGGATAGGGCCTAGGCCCACCCTCGTGTGTCTTGGCTCAGGGAGTAATCCTCTATGTGGAATGGGCTCCCAAAGTCCACACCTATGCTAGGATAAGTACTGAACTATTACAGGAGGTCCCGTAGATTTCTGAGGTCTCCTCACTGAAACCCACATTCCTGGGGTCTGGATCAGTCCAATGCTCGTATCCCAGCTATCAGTCTGGGGACCAAGAGTTCCCCGATGTTCAGGTCACCTATTTCTGTGGGTTTCACCAGCCTGGTCTGGACCCCTTTGATCATCACTTGTCTTTCTCTGAAACTGGATTCCAGTTCAGTTCAGTGATTAGTTGTGGGTGTCTGCTTCTACTTCCACCAGCTGCTGGATGAAGGCTATAGGATGGCATATAAGTCAGTCATCAATCTCATTATCAGGGGAGGGCATTTAAGGTAGCCTCTCCTCTGTTGCTTAGATTGTTAGTTGGTGTCATCTTTGTAGATCTCCAGACCTTTCCCTAGTGCCTGATATCTCTATAAACCTATAATGGATCCCTCTATTATGGTATCTCCTTTCTTGTTTTCTTCTATTCTTCCCCCAACTCAACCTTTCTGCTCCCTCATGTCCTTCTCACTCCTCCTCTTCTCCCCTTCTCATTCTCCTAGCTCCCTCCCTTGCTCCCAATTTGCTCAGGAGATCTTGTCCCTTTTCCCTTCTCCAGGGGACCATGTATGTCTCTCTTAGGGTCCTCCTTGTTTACTAGCTTCTCTGGCAGTGTGAATTGTAGGCTGGTATTCCTTTACTCTATGTCTAAAATACACATATGAGTGATTACATACCGTGTTTGTCTCTTTGTGATTGGGTTACCTCACTCAGAATGGTTTCTTCTAGTTCCATCCATTTTCCTGCAAATTTCAAGATTCCATTGTTTTTTTTCCTGCTGAATAGTACTCCA